ACACATATCTTATTCTGATAATGATTGTGTAATTTTCCTCTTCTACAGATGTTCTATTGTCAATTGCGGCAAGGAGTTCAAGCTTAAGACCCACCTGGCTCGCCACTATGCGCAAGCGCATGGCATCGCTATCAGCTCCGGATCGCCGCGGCCCATCATGAAGACTCGGACAGCCTTCTACTTGCACACCAATCCCATGACCCGGGTGGCGCGCGCCATTTGCCGCAGCATCGTCAAGCCGAAAAAGGCGGCGCGGCAGAGTGCGTACGCCATCAACGCCTTGCTGGTGAAACAAGAATGTAAGTGCTTATCACACATAAAGACAAATAAAATGAGCCGTTGTAATCCTTGTTTGATTTTCATGAACCAGTTACGAATCGTATTAGTGGAAAATCGCAGGCGGAAATCAAGAAGCTGCTCTTGCTTAAGCCCAAGGATCGGGGCAGTGTCACGAAGATTGCCAACCGCCTAGGTGCGCCAGGCAGCGGACCACATGAATGGCTCATACTGACGCCCAAGGACAAGATGCCGTTGCCGCTTGTAGTCTCGTTCCCAAAACCGCCAAAGGCGCCTGATGGGAGCTTAATGTACGACCGGGTGCCCAACAAGTCCCCCGACGTTGTGGCCGTGCCGGCTGATAAAGAGCTTACCATAATTCCAACGCAAGCCACGTCGACGATACGAAAGCGAGCACACGAGGAGCAGCAGCTGAATGGCACTGAAGGTGGGTGTTAACTCATTTATCTTAATTTTTTCAGATGCTTTGTTTATATAAATTGGTTCTTATAATTATTGGTTTTGTACAATTTTCCTATAAAGTGGTATATTCTTAATCATCAAAAAAAAAAACCTAGTCGATAAAGTGGATAGATGTTAATCTACTTGTAATATTATAGTTTGTTCAGAATATCCCCTTTAGTATGTAACATCCGTTGCAGGCGGATAGCGTTTATCTTATTTTATTCTAACTAATTGAGTTCTCCTATTGCAGTTACTATAGTTCCCAGTGGACCACCTGCCAAGCGCCCCAATAAGGATCCCATGCCCTCGCATTGTCCCAGTCCCGAGCAGTTTGCGGCTATGATGGCGGCATCTGGCCAACCGCTCTCCAGGCATCATGTGAGTAACACCTCGATTTTTATCTGGTTTAGTACGTATTAATTATATATATTCGCCTTTCAGCTTAATGGTAAACAAAAGATTGCGCAGATGGCCCGCGGTGGCAATGGACGCAAGCAGGTCATCAGTTGGATGGATGCACCGGACGATGTTTACTTTAGGGCCAACGATACACACAAGTGAGAAATTATTAGTTACAAAATCACTGCTTTTCTGTTCCTTCTTTTGCAAAACTTTTGTGTAATTTTGATTTAATATTTTAATAAAAAACTGATTTTGTTTTTCAAATTTAACCCTTTTGCAAGCCAAGTTTTTGTTTATTTTTAGATTAACAAATGTGAAATTATTTTTACGTTAAACGTAAAATCCGATAAGATCAAGTCAAATCAATGTAATAATAATTTAATTTTTGTTCCAGAAAAACGCGAAAAATACTCTCCGCCGTAGATCTGCGCCGTGCGGCGCGCAAACCATGGCGCACACTGCCCATCAAGACTGCGGCGCCCGAGCCAAGTAGCAGGCCCATTGAATCACAAATCGTCATACTGGACTGACCGTCGCCGGCAAACACATTAGCCACATCCGCAGCATCGGCAACCAAGTTGTTATCGTCTTCAGCAAACAAATTTGAGCAGCAACATCCTCCATTTCCATACACCATGGATGCACTGCTTAACTAGTGAGCATTATCTGGTTTAACGGGCTTGCCATGTACATACCCCCGCAGCATAAAAGCACATAGACGTGTGGACAGGCGTTCGACTTAGGATCAGTGTAGTTACAGCATTGTATGACAACAGCAACCGATAGCAACCACAAAACCACTTTATTAGCGCTTAAATAGATGTCTTTTTAAAAACAAATAGTAAGATAATAAGTGTTAAGGGTCTGTAGTAACAGTAACGCGAAAACAGCAAAATATTTATAAATATTTTATATATTTTTTTAAATTTAAAATCTCAGCACACCGAACGGGAACACACATACTGTCTGCACCTTCGCCGTGAAAGTGTGGACATGAAAGCATGAAACTCAAAACTTCGTTTATTCTTTTAGTACACAACGCATTTGCATTAATTTTTGTTCGAAATCTGTGGATCTAAGTTCTTCAAATATTTTCTTGCTCTTTCAAACAGCGACTCAAAGTTCCACGTTTAATTACCTAAGCCTAATCCTAGCTAAGAACCAGATACGTAATTATGAAATTGAAAGGCCTCCGTAAGTTTTAAATACGTTTCAGTCCAGATTTGAATTATATCCATATAAAATAAAATTGTTTGAATGCTTTAAATTGAGAAGTGGAAAAATTTAATACTGTTAATAAATGTGACGAGCAAAATTAAATAATTGGAAATCCATAATTAATGCTGTAACTAATAACGAAAAACTTCGAAAACAAATTGTACAGTAAAAGATATAAAGTTAAAATTCGAAAAAAATGTATTTTCATAATTTATGTAAACAAACGAAAGTTCGGTCACCTAAAGAGCTATCACTCACACGCCTACACACAACCCACACACACCCACATTTAGCTTATTATTTACGCATATAAATTAGTACGAATCTAAGCCGCATATACATTTAAAAATGTATGAATAACAAGAAAACAGCGTGGAAGATAACAAAGAATGTCTAGACGTAGAGCAGCAGGGCAAGCGGAAACCAGCAGAGCATAAACAGAAAACCAATAAAATTAAATGATTATGATGAAAATTTGATTGTAAGCCAACATACTTTTAACTTTATGACCTAAGCAATTTTGTAAAATAAAAACACTTCAAATTAAAAAAGTTAGTTAAGTGAAAAGAAGAGAACGGATCTAAAGCTGCAACTATTGTCAAATTCAGGCCCACGACCACAGCAAAAGCCGTGCGAATGTTTAACCAGCAATAAGCTATTTGTTTGTTCTTATTTTTCCGCAATCATCCGAAATTTATACGTGTTCTACCAAAAGCCGGCGACTTCAAGCAGCGAAAACACCAATAACAAACAGAGAGACAAGCAACAGAAGCAAATCAAACAGAGCTATATACATAATTATATACCTATATATATATATATTATATACAGATATACAATATAACAGTACATACAATGCGCATTGGAACATAACAGTACGCATAAACATTTTTACAGAGAAAGAAACTGACGAAGACAACGTGACGGCGAGACAAGCAACCGAAAAAAGTTTTCCAAATAAAGTTTTAAAACTAAACATTTTTCCTAAAAATATGCAAACATTTGAAGATTTTATTTACCGAGTGACTTTAAAAAATAGTTAACAATTCTTTGCTCCTATTCGGCATAGCTGGCAATGCAGAGGGAGGCATTGGTTCCTCCAAAACCGAAGGAATTCTTGAGGGCAATGCGGCGTTTTTGATCTTGCGACCATTCGGTGGTTTCCCTGACCACATTGACGTCCACATCCAGTTGGTCTATGTTGATGGATGGCGGCAGCTTGTTCTCCGCACAGGCGTGCACCACAAAAAGGGCTTCCAGATTGCCGGAGGAGCCCAGTAGGTGTCCATGGGCTCCCTTTGTCGAGGAAACCTTTACTTGAGGAGTGTGGACGCCAAAGACACGTCCTATAGCATGTGATTCGATGCGATCCCCAGTGGGCGTGGAGGTGGCGTGGGCATTAACATAGGTTATGTGATCCGGAGCAATCCCAGCATCACTGATTGCCCGCTTCATGGCCAAAGTAGCTCCGGCCCCGTCCTCGCTGGGAGAGGTTATGTGATAGGCATCGCCTGACAAACCGTAGCCCAGTATCTCAGCCAGGATGGGAGCTCCTCGGGCACGTGCATGCTCCAGTTCTTCCAGCAAAAGAACAGCTGCTCCCTCCCCCATCACAAAGCCATCTCGGGACTTGTCGAAGGGTCTGGAGGCCACTGACGGATTGTCGTTGAATGCGGTGCTCAGAGCCCGCAGTCTGCAGAATCCAGCGATGGAGAGGGGATCTATGCAGGCTTCGCCACTTCCCGCCAGCATCACATCCGCATCTCCATTGCGGATAAACCGCATGGCATCGCCCAGGGCATGGGCCCCCGTGGCGCAGGCTGTGGACACCGAGTGGTTTGGTCCTCTCAAGCCGTGTCGCATGCTGACGTGTCCACACGCCATGCTGGGCAGGAGCCTGGGAACGAAGAATGGGCTAACTCTGTTGTAGCCGCGCTGCAGCTGGTTCCAGGCACCGTAGACCTCGGCCAGGTCGAACATGCCCATGCCCACACAGACACCGAAGCGCTCTCTCTGCTCCTCGCTCAGATCCTTGGGGTTCAGCTTTCCGGAGGCCAGGGCCTCCTCCGCCGCCAAGACAGCGAACTGGGTGGCGGGGCTCATCAGCTTGATGTCCGACTTAGTTAGGTGCTGGTCCAAGTGCAGGTTATCCCTTGAGATCTGTGCCGCAACCTGGCAGGGCAATCCCTTGAACTCCGGCCCCAGCCGGGAGATCGCCGACTCGCCGGCCAGGATACGTCGCCAGGAATCCGCGGCATTGCTGGCCAGAGGGGTGACTGCTCCACTTCCCGTGACCACCACACGCCGGCGGCCAGCTTGCGTGGACGAGTAACGCACTTGGTGGTTGGCCAATAAATTGCAATTCTTTAAAAAACGCATTTTGATGTTTACATGATCACGTCAGTGAGACCGTCTTCAACCTTTAAAATAATCCTACTGGCGTGCATGGAAATAATACTAAAAACATTTAAAGATTTAAAAATAAATTAAAACAATTTTCAGTAGCTAACTAGGTGTTTTATTATTTATAACTAACAACTCGTCTTTCTTATACGTACAATTCTTTAAATCACTTTTTAAAATATCAGAATTGTACATTTGCTTACTGTTTTTTATCAGGATTTTGAACGGGATGAATACCCCCAAGAAAATCAGCAAGATGCGCACAGGGCTTGAGATCCGCTTACATAATTCTGCATCATGAATTTCGCCGGCAAAGTTGTTCTAATTACAGGAGCGAGCTCCGGGATCGGGGCAGCCACCGCCGTTAAGTTCGCCCAATATGGAGCTTGCCTGGCGCTGAATGGACGCAATGTGGAGAACCTCAAGAAGGTGGCCGAGGAGTGCAGCAAAGTGGGCCAATCATCGCCAGCTTTGGTAGTTGGCGACATCGCCAAGGAGGCGGACACCAAGAGGATCTGGACGGAGACGCTCCAGAAGTATGGCAAGCTGGATGTCCTGGTCAACAATGCCGGAATCATCGAGACGGGCACCATCGAGAACACCAGTCTGGAGCAGTACGACCGGGTCATGAACACCAACTTAAGGGCGATCTATCACCTGACCATGCTGGCCACTCCGGAGCTGGTAAAGACCAAGGGCAACATCGTGAACGTGTCCAGCGTCAATGGGATTCGATCCTTTCCCGGTGTGCTGGCCTATAACATATCCAAAATGGGCGTGGATCAGTTCACTCGCTGCGTGGCCCTGGAGCTGGCCTCCAAGGGTGTGCGGGTGAACTGTGTGAATCCCGGCGTGACGGTAACCAATCTGCATGCTCGCGGCGGCATGGATCCGGAGACGTACAAGAAGTTCCTGGAGCACTCGAAGTCCACCCATGCGTTGGGTCGCCCTGGGGATGTCAAGGAAGTAGCTGCGGCCATTGCCTTCCTGGCCAGCGATGAGGCCAGCTTCAGCACTGGCGTCAGCCTGCCCGTTGACGGAGGTCGCCATGCCATGTGCCCACGCTAGAATCCGGAGGGTATGGGCTACGAGACTCCCCTGCATGGACGTTTCCATGTGAAAATGCATTTATACCGAAGCTTTATTTGTTATTCTGAATTTTTTATTGTATAATATTTGTATTGTATAAATTTTATATTGATCAAATTATATCTTTTTCGGACTAATCCTGTTGCCCGAAAATAAGCTTAATAAAAAATAATGTTCTCAAACACAATTAGATTGGCTACCAACTATACGTTGTATTGTAACTTTTTTTATGATTTATAATTAGTTCTAATAATATTGCAATTTAAATTAGATTAACAAGAGTTAATTTGGAATCTCTATGAATTTAGTATTGTTTATATCCTTGTAAATGTAAATGAAATAATTATTAAGAATTTTGTTCTTAGGCTCAATTTAAATAGAATTTTTGTTATATATTTAGTTGATGCTCTAGTTTTATCTCACGTTTCTTGAAACTGAATCTGCTTTTATTAATTATTACAAGCTTTTTTATTATTTTTCTTATTTAAGTTTAAATACTAAGTACCTTACGGAACAATTCCCAGCTTGTTATGATCAAGTTATATTTTCCCGTGAAGTCATCTTCGTAGCTTAAGTTTTCCGGCCAAAACTCGGTTCGATGGGCAGCAAGGGCAAGGCGGGTTTAGACTTTTCCGGCAAGGTGGTGCTGATCACGGGCGCAGCCTCCGGGATCGGGGCCGCCACGGCGGAAATGTTCTCCAAGCTGGGCGCTTGCCTGACACTGGTGGATCGGGAGGAGGAGGGTCTACTTTGCCTGATGAAGAAGTGTATAAAGACGGGACGTGAGCCGTACGGCATAGCAGGAGATCTGCTCAAGCCAGTGGAGATCGAGTGCATTGCGAGGAAGACCACGGAGCGCTTCGGCGGTAAACTGGACGTACTGGTAAATGGAGCGGGAGTCATGCCCACGGGTACGCTGCAGAGCACGGAACTGGCCTGCTTTACTCACGTCATGGAGGCCAATGTACGGTCGGCGTTCTACCTGACCAAGTTGTTGCTCCCTCATCTGCTCCAGTGCAAGGGCAACATCATCAACGTGTCCAGTGTCGGTGGGCTGCGCGCCTTTCCCAACCAAGTGGCCTACAACATGTCCAAGGCGGCGGTGGACCAGTTCACCAGATCACTAGCTCTAGATCTGGCGCCCCAGGGTGTCCGGGTAAATGCAGTTAATCCGGGGGTAATACGCACTAATCTGCATAAGGCCGGGGGCATGGACGAACAGAGCTATGCTGACTTTCTGGAGAGCTCAAAACAAACTCATGCCCTGGGTAGGATTGGGGAGCCGACCGAGGTGGCTTCCGTCATTTGTTTCCTGGCCAGCGAACTGGCCAGCTTCGTGACCGGCGTCACTCTTCCCGTGGACGGCGGCAAACAGCTTATGTGTCCTCGCTAATCCCTGCAAAGGAGTCCTGTCCAGGCGAAAGCCCTTCCTCTCATTTGTTGCCCGCCGATTAAAACCATCACTATTAAAATTCCAAAATCTTTAGTTAACAATTTAAAATGATTTTATTTTATACATTCCTATTTTAGAAGATGTTACAGAATTTTTATTGATGGTCCGATTTATTTGCAATTATAAACTCAAAAACCAAACATTTCATTGGAGTGGAAGTATTTCAAAGAAAAACCAGAAAACAAAACCGATGTAAAGCCATACTGTAGAAAAAAAAGAAAATAGGAAACTTTTTTTTTTTGAAAACACAATAAAAAAACCAATCGCGAATTCTTTGGAAGAGGATGACCTTACCTCTGTAACTTTCATAATACTGTATCATTGGTTAGAATAGAGTCCAGTCAGTAAAATGGGACATATAAATTTGGAATATATTTAAAAATCAGGGACTCATAAACTTTGTTAGACTCATATTTTTAAAAGACTACTTTACGTTATTTTTATAAAAAAAAGTAGTCAAAATACGTTCTCAATAAAAAATTGCGCCAAATTCTTGTTTTCTTACAAATATCTAATGTAGGAAAATTTTAAATCGAAAAGGGGTTTTTCTGGGCTTTAAACTTTTTCTTGAAAACAATACTTTCGGAATTCATTATTTATTATTAACGCAACCGGTTTGGCAGCCTCATGTTTCATATGTGCATGTTCATAATTACTTTAAATATTGTATTTTCTTCTTTATTAGTCTTTAAATACTGGATATTCCAAATATAAAGGCAATAAATGGGTTCAAGTTAGTAACTTTACAGAAATTAACAACAAATATCGAAGGCCCTCTAGATTCTCATCTGGGGCACATGGCATGACGACCTCCGTCCACGGGCAGGCTGATTCCGGTGCTGAAGCTGGCCTCATCGCTGGCCAGGAAGGCAATGGCGGCAGCCACCTCCTTTACTTCTCCGGGACGACCCAGAGCGTGGGTGTTCTTGGCGTGCTCCAGGAACTTGGAGTATGCCTCCTCGTTCAGTCCACCGCGTCGCTGCAGCTCGGTGATGATCACGCCGGGATTGACGGAGTTCACACGGACACCCTTGGGGGCTAGTTCCAGAGCTACACACCTGGTGAACTGATCCACAGCCGCCTTGGAGACGTTGTACGCCAAGACACCGGGAAAAGAGCGGATGCCGTTGACACTGGAAACGTTGACAATATTTCCCTTGGTCTTGACCAATTCAGGCGTTACCAGCATAGTTAGTTGGTAGACCGCCCGCACATTGGTATTCATCAGGCGGTCGAACTGCTCCAGACTGGTGTTCTCGATGGAGCCCAGCTCCAGAATTCCGGCATTGTTAACTAGCACGTCGATGCGACCGTGCTTGGCCAACGTGGCGGATACGATACCCTGGACATCCGACTCGCAGTTCATGTCCGCTGCCACCTGGAGAGCAGGTTTTCCACCAGCTGACTCTATCTGATCGGCGGTCTCCTTGAGCTTATCCACATTCCTGCCCACAATAGTGAGGAGTCCTCCAAGTTTGGCTAAGAGGACTGCGGTACCTGCTCCGATTCCGGAGCTGGCGCCAGTCACGATGATAACTTTATCCTTAAAACTGGGCATATTGACGCGATCTGCTTGAAAGTAACAATGACTTTAGATCTGACATTGAAGAAGTCATCAGGTTTTCGGCGGTACAAGTCGATTGTAGTTATACTATCGATAAAGTGGAACTTTGAAAGCTATTTCCAGCGGTTGTGAAATTCAAACTACTCGTATCTGGAGTCGTGCTTTCGGTGTTAATTAAACTTAATGTTTTTAATTATTATACACAAATAATATGTGTGAAAGCTGCAATGCTGATGGCCAACCTCCGAGTTGATTTTATTTATACCTATGTACATATAATCATGTGCTAATCAGTGAATACCTCCTATTAAATATTATCTATTAATATTTTCCGTGGTAGTTCTATTTAATTTACAGATAATTTAAAAATTCCAAAATATTACCACCTGCAATAAAAACAGTTTTGGAAAAGTTTTTTAAAGATAACTACAACGACGGACAGACTGATGCTGATAAGGAATATAAATATGTATATACTATATAAAGGGCAATGCAAATATTTGACTGAAATTATATTGGTATCTGCGAAAGTATAATAATTAATAAAGACAAATCAAAAGCAGAAGCCCAGATAATGGAAACCTACAATTGCAAATATCGAGTTACATTTTATTGGACCAGTTAAAATTAATCAGATTTATTCGTTAAATTCGTTAAATGCCACGGATAATTTCTTCATCTTAATATCCATAAGTTATCTGGGGCACATGGCATGGCGACCTCCGTCCACTGGCAGACTGACTCCAGTACTAAAGCTGGCAGCCTCGCTGGCCAGGAAGGCAATGGCCGCCGCCACCTCCTTGACATCCCCAGGACGACCAAGGGCGTGGGTGACCTTGCAGTGCTCCAGGAACTTGGCGTACGTCTCCTCGTCCATGCCGCCACGTTTGTGAATATCGGTTACAATCACGCCGGGATTCACGGCATTTACTCGGACCCCTTTGGAGGCCAGTTCCAAGGCCACGCAGGCCGTGAACTGATCCACAGCCGCCTTGGACACATTGTAAGCCAGGACACCGGGAAAGGCACGAAGCCCACAGACGCTAGACACGTTCACGATGTTGCCCTTGGTCTTGACCAGCTCCGGAGTGGCCAACATGGTGAGTTGGTACAGAGACCGCACATTAGTGTTTATCAGGCGATCGAACTGCTCCAGGCTGGTGTTCTCGATGGAGCCGCTCTCCAGGATGCCCGCATTGTTGACCAGGACATCGATGCGTCCGTATTTGGCCAGCGTGGCATCCACTATCTGTTGCACTTCCGCCTCCTTGGTCATATCCGCCTGCAGTTCCAAGGCAGGAGCTCCTCCGGCTGCCACAATGTTTTCGGCAGTCTCCCTTAGCTTCTCCACGTTGCGACCGACGATGACCAGGAGTCCTCCGAGGCTGGCCAAGTGGACTGCAGCGCTTGCTCCAATTCCAGAGCTGGCTCCGGTCACAATAATTACCTTGTCTTTGAAAGATGACATCGTGGAAAATTCGGAAAACTGTAAACACTGGAACCGTTCTAACAGCTGTGGTCCATCTATTAAATAAGAGCTTATTCATATCAGCTGTGAACCTCTATGAAAAGTATGTCATTATTCCACAAATCATTTCCCATGAAAATGGTTGGGATTTTTGATAGGTGTGAAACTCCGATTACCTCCGATCCACTATCTACCTAGTATTCCTCAGAGAATAAATCAAGCCCTCTTTTCTCCGTGAAAAGCAAGGATTGCTAATAAATAATGTTTTTACTCAATAAATAAATCAAATGGGCAGAAAAAAAACCTTAAATTTGTAATATCCTTCCAGAATAATGATCAAAACCTCAAATTAAGATACAACTTATTTTTAACGTCGGCTTTTGTGTGCAGTTTTTGACGATTTTTTTGGAATTTGGTTTGAGATGGTATTTGCTCAAGTGTTTTTAAGCTAACAAATTTTATTCACAGGCAAAACAAATTTTTCGAAAAAACGCTGCAAAAACATAACTCCTTGAAAGTCTACCAAAGCGGTTTTATTCCTGTAGTTCCACTTACCCCATCTTACCATACCGTTGCAATAAAACGCCATATCCATATCTAATATTAAACCCAGTCGAATGCACTAAAATATCATTTGTTCCCAACTCTGGCAACATAGGCCAATATTATTACACAACATTTAACAAGAATTTTAAAAAGTTAACAAATAAAGCGTAAAATAACAAAATTGCGACATTTCAGTAACACTCGTATCTAATCGACAGTAAACCTCCGCACCTTCCATTCACTGTATAGCCGCTCGATGGTCTGAAGGGTTACGCATGGCAGTGCGTCACGCATGTCGCAATAATCTTTAAAAATGTTATTCAGTCCAAGTAGGGAGTTCCTGGCCAGACGCCTCCACTGGCGCAGCGTCTGTTCCTCGGAGTCCCGGCACATTTTGGCCAGATGAATGCTTTGTACCTGCCGCTGTTGGTCCATCATTCGCTCCACTTCTCGTCGCATATCTTTACCACCCTGTCCCCCGAAAACACGGATGCTTAACTTTCTTAAATGCGCCTCCAGCTCGTTGTCCAACATGACAAACTTTTCAAAAAGATGGGGAAGAGTTAGTGGAAGCAGGGGTTCCATTAGCGTTTTAAATATAGGTCTGGGTAACTTTATCTTGCTTTCGGTCTCCTGTCGATGAATCTGCTCGGGTAATCCATCTTCCGGAGTTTCAAACTCTTCCTCGGAACTGGCAAAGGCTTGATCATTCTTTAAAAGACTGATTATTCTGCAAGCCGCCTGCAAAAGAGCTTCCTGAACATAATTGTTTGTAGCTTTGGTTTGGCCCTCAGACAGCTTTTGCTGTAAAAGACAGTTTTCGCCGTTCAGTATTTCCTGATGGTAGTCAGATGACCGAGCTTCTGTTAGGAGCTGGCCAAATACCCTTCTCTGCTGGACCTGGCCTTCTCTCTGCTTAAATTGACGTTGTTTATTCTGCGGATAACGCTTCTTACCAGTTTGCGTGCAGAAAGTCAAGCCAACGTTGTACGATTTACCACCATTCCTTTCCCGTCTCTCCACAATTTCTTCCTCGTCCGTGGAATATGAATTTGGTCGAAGCGATTTCCGCCAATTAGCCACCCGATTGCGAACATAGGAGCCATAAGCTTCCTGCTGTTCGGTGTTTCCATATGGAGTTGGTTGAATGTTCTGTGCTTCCACCGTATAGATCTTCTTGCTAGGGCAATAACTGCCAACCAAGGAGTAGCGGGGAGCCTTCTGTGCATCGTTTTCGCCGCTAGAGGAGCTCACACGATTGCGTCCTCGTCCTCCAAGATCCTCAGATTCGGATTCCCTTTCACTTCCAATAAAGCGAGACCATCGTTCGCTTCGAGTCTGTGGGGATCCCGGCTGGAAATACTCGCGACTGGAGCTAAGTCGTTGGATTTTTGGTTGCCGAGTCTTATCTGCAGTTTGTTTGTCTTGCGTTAACATACAAGACCAGTTTTCGTCGACTACTTCCTCGGAAGGATACGGTTCTGTAACCGCATTCTTGATATTCTCGTCCTGGATTTCAAATGATTCCTTCCTCCGGCAACGTCTGGCCAAAGAATGCTGGTCCGCCAGTTTTCCCGCTTCCAAACGCAACTCCTCGAGTACTTGTCGCCGCTCCAGGACCTGATCGTTAAGCTTGCCATCCCTTTCTTGATTTCCTTCCGCTTGGGGTTCAGCTTGCTGACAAAACTGCTGGACCTTGGTGTGAGACGCGCTAAGAATATCCTTGCTAGATGAACCATGCTGGGTATTCATGTCTCCTGGATATTTTTCCATATCATTCGGTTGGCTTTTTCTTTTTGTCTCACTTTCAATGCTCTTTGTTCTGTCCTCACTAATTTGGGTCCCATGAGGCGCCTTATCCTCAAAATTCTGGCTTTCGGTCACCAGTATTTTTTCTTCTGTTTCCAGATCTTCCAATTTTGGAAACGCCGTTTCCTCCAAGGGCTTTTGACCCATCTCTCTATTTGTGTGGAGCTCCAATTGTCTTTCGAGTTGCTCCTTGAGTTGTTTTGCGACTTCCCTTGTCTCGAATTCCACCTGGAGTTCTCTTTCCCTTATCTGTCTAATTTTCTGAAGTCTTTGGTCCCTGGCTTTCACTTCTTCGAGTTTTGTCATTCCCTGCCGTTCCTTTAATAAATTCTCCCTTTCCATTAGATCAAGTTCTTCTTTTCTTAGCTCATTAGCTTGATCTCCCATATCTACTGTGTTCTGGGTTTTCATTTCACCTTCTGGAATGACCCTTTTCTGACGTTCCTCTCGTTCCTCTCGCTCTTCTCTCTCCTTATCTTGCATTTGAAGCCACTGCTTTAGAAACTGTTCCCTCTTGAGATCTTCCTCTCTGGCTTTTTTCTCTAACTCATCTTTTTCGCTCCTGTTCCGCTTGAGCTTCTCCAAAAGCCCTTTCTCTCTCTGAAACTTTTCTTCCTTAGCGATTCTTTCGCACTCCTCTCGTTCTCTTTTTTCAAGTTCTTTTGTCCTTTGTGAAATCAGCTTCATTTCCTCATTCCGCCTTCTTTCTCGTTCTCGAACCTCATTGAGTTTCATTTTGAGCCTCTCAATCTTTATTTCTTCTTGTTCGCATGCTTTTCTTTGAAAGTCCTTCATTTCCTCTAGTTCACTTTTTAATTTTTCCGAATGTTTTCGTTCAAGTTTTTTATTTTCCTGATATCTTTGTTTCTTCTCTTCTTTCTCTTGTTTTTTGGCTTTTTCTTCGGGTGTTTCCCGCATCCTGAGTTGCCGATACCGCCCGGACCTCGCTCTTTCTCGATGGAATTCCTTAAGCTGCTCATAGGCCAACACCTTGTGTCTTACGTTCTCCGCCCGCAGGTGCAACTGTTGCTCGCGCCTCGTACTCTGAGTATCCTCTGAATCGGCTGGAACAGTCATTGCGGTCCGGGACATGTGTCTGAGGTCCTCCCCGAGATCGGTTCCAACTTCCTCCACTACCTCTACATTCTGCGATGAAGGTGTGGAAGGACGGCGCCGAGCCCGCCAACGCTGATCCCGCAGTCGTTGCTCCTCCCGCTTTTTAAACATCAGGTAGCGTTCGTAGTCGCGCCGTTCCTTTACCTTTTGTTGCTGCTCACGCAACCGCCGATCGCGCAATTGACGTGCTTTTTCAAGGCGCTGGCGGTCCAGTTGCAGCTGCTTGGCCAGCAAAGTCCTTTGCCGATCCCGCTCCTGCTCCCTAATCAGTTTCTCGACTCGCTCCCGTTCCCGTCGCTCCAGAATCTCCCGTTGTTTACGCTCGCGCCCACAGAGATCGCGTTTAGCCCGCGGAGAGAGCACTGGAACATCCACCTGAACGCCGACGGTCTTCGCGCGATTTTTTGGCTTGCAAATTATGGGCGGTGGTTCCAGCTTGGGGCACTCTTCGGATGGGAACTCCAGGCTCCACATTTCCTGCTCCTCACGCCTGTACTGGTCTTCCAGATAGTCTAAGTGCTTCACCCTCTTTCGCCACTCGAACGGAGACGTCTTGGATCTCCTCCTGGCCAGGCTGCTGCTCGATGGCTTTGGGGCCACCAGTTGTGGCGGACTGGACTGACGCTGTAAACAGTGATTGTTATTTTGCGACTTACATATATAACGTTGTTTATTATACCGCTTTGTTGCCTAACAATGACATCCCGCCTTTTTGGTGGTATATACTTTTTTTCAAAACTAAGCATTACAAAAAATGTAAGCAAGAAGACGAGATATTACAATTTATTAACACAAAATCTAGGACCTGCAAGGGTATACAAACGTCGGATTAACGAGTTTCCTTGATTAATTTTTTTAAGCTTGCAACTGTCAGTCGGAAAATGGGCAGAAATCAAGTAAGCGAAACAATTTTTTTCAAAACATTTAATATAATATATGTATATACAGCCTAATTATTTTTTATATGAAATCAATAAAAAGCCTTCACGACTTCTGAAGATCCGACAGACACAACATGCATTAGAAAGAATACATTTGGGATAGTTTTATCTACGTAGCTTTGAAATTAAACAGGATATGCGGATTTCGACTCTCCTTGGCACTCGAATGCCTTACGGTCAAGCCGGAGATCATTCTCACCTTCTGGCGGTAGCTACGATCCAACCGGTCCCTCATGGAACGCCTTTTACGACGCTTCACTAATTCTCTTTTGTTGATGTTCTCCATTGAAATGTAATCCTTTGTAAATTTAAATTTTCTTATAATTTTTTCTTGCACTATTCGTCTGAAGCCAACGGAAAACTGTGACGATTTGGGAAACACATCTATCTGTGCCTATTGAAAGCTCCATTTTGGCATGCTTTGTTTTTTATACAAAACAAAAAAGAAAAAAGGATAATTCGAAAAGCCAAACTTTTAAACCTACCAGTGCATGTATAACAAAAAATTATACATTCGAACTAGCAAATAATACAATTTTCTCATTCGGTCTTGTTTCTATTCTATATATTGTTAATTTAATTTAAAATTAAAAACAATCTCAATATTAAAACAACACTACTGTGGGCAAAAAGTAAGGTATTTTCAATTTAAAATTCGCGGGCTTAAGATGACGGACTAGTTCTTTTTTTCTTGAGTTGGCAGGACTGTTGATGACATCTGGCGGTAATTTCAAGTCAATGTCAGTATCAGTACTATATTTACGCTTGTGTTTACCAAACGATGAAGAGTGCGTTTGTCCTTTTTTTCAATGTCTGATTTAATTGAGCGGAGAGGTGCTTCAAATTTTGTTTGCGGAATGAAATTTCGGCTGCGGAAACGTTGAGGATGTTGCGGAAGGCCTTTGGTGATTCTACCATGTCCCAGAAAAATGTTTCACCTTACTTTTTGCCCACAGTACTACTACATTTAAAAACAAGAAAGGAAAGCTAACTTCGAGCGGAGCCGAAGTTGATATACCCTTGCAGAATACTCTGTAAATTATATTCTCCAAAATTATTTATATGATGCATTCTTAATACTCATAAAAAATCCCAACTTCCTAACTTTAAAAACACCAAAGTTATAGCATTTCCAATCGTTCAGTTATATGGCAGCTATAAGATATAGTCGGCCGATCCTTATGAACTTTGGTAGGTCGGATTGATTGGCCAAAAATAAAACCCATAGAAAATCCCAACTTCCTAACTTTACAAACACCAAAGTTATGGCATTTCAGATTAATCAGTTATATGGCGGCTATAGGATATAGTCGGCCGATCCTTATGAAATTTGGTAGTTCGGATTGATTGGCCAAATATAAAACCGATAGAAAATCCCAACTTCCTAACTTAACAAACACCAAAGTTATGGCATTTCCGATCAATCAGTTATATGGCAGCTATAAGATATAGTCGGCCGATCCTTATGAAATTTGGTAGGTCGGATTGATTGGCCAAATATAAAACCCATAGAAAATCCCAGCTTCCTAACTTTACAAACACCAAAGTTATGGCATTTCCGATCAATCAGTTATATGGCAGCTATAGAATATAGTCGGCCGATCCTTATGAAATTTGGTACGTCGGATAACTTGGCCAAATATAAAACCCATAGAAAGTCCCAACTTCCTAACTTAACAAACAGCAGAGTTATGGCATTTCCGATCAATCAGTTATATGGCAGCTATAGGATATAGTCGGCCGATCCTTATGAAATTTGGTACGTCGGATTGATTGGCCAAATATAAAACCCATAGAAAGTCCCAACTTCCTAACTTAACAAACAGAAGAGTTATGGCATTTCCGATCAATCAGTTATATGGCAGCTATAGGATATAGTCGGCCGATCCCGGCCGTTCCGACTTATATACTGCGTGCAAAGGAAAGAAGGGTGTGTGCAAAGTTTGAATTCGATATCTTTAAAACTGAGAGACTAGTTCGCGTAGAAACAGACAGACGGACAGACGGACAGACAGACGGACATGGCTATATCAACTCAGGAGGTGATCCTGATCAAGAATATATATACTTTATAGGGTCGGAGATGTCTCCTTCACTGCGTTGCACACTTTTGACCAAAATTATAATACCCTCTGCAAGGGTATAAAAATAAATTTTTAATTATATAAACTTAAGTTTGTTAGTTTACTAAATTTATTTCATTCACCATTATTATTCGTAAAGTATAATTCTTATACCCTAGCAGAGGGCAACGCAGTGAAGGAGACATTTCCGACCCTATAAAGTATATATATTCTTGATCAGCATCACCAGGAGAGTCGATCAAGCCATGTCCGTCCGTTTCTACGCAAACTAGTCCCTCAGTTTTAAAGCTATCTGCTTGAAACTTTTCCAAAAGTTGTCTTTCTATTGCAGGTAGCTGCCATATAACTGAACTATTGGAATTGGCATAGCTTTGGTGTTTTTAAAGTTAGGAATGCATCATATGAATAATTTTGGAGAATATAATTTACAGAAGGGTATACGACTTCGGCTCCGCCCGAAGTTGGCTTTCCTTTCTTGTTAACTTTTTAACTTTAACGCTTTGAGCTAGATGACGAGGCACCGCCTAATGAATACGATTCGATTCAACCGCCAGTCTGTACTTCTTATCGTTGACCAACGATTTCCAAATCGGCATTACATAAAATTAAATTGCGATATTGATCCGGTGAACACAAGGTGTTTATATTGATTATTATATTTCTAAAATAAAATGAATTGAGAAAGTCTTTTTGTAAAATTATTATATAAAAGAAGTAAACCAAATTCTTTATTGAATAAAATTTTGTTCATTAAAGTATACAATAAGTTTATTTAATAAATGTTGTTACAGAGTATATAATTTTGAATATTACCTGTGAGGTAGATTGTTATCATCCTGTCGTAAATTAGGACAGTTAAAGCCTGGGCGAATGAAGGCAGCTTTGCCAATTGATTAAGCATTCCGTTCATAGGCAACCCAGCTCCTTCAATGACATATTATATTTTACTGCCAACCTCAAGAAATTATTCATCTGTGAAAACTTCGACTCCGGTGCAAAGTAGGATTCATGGACTACATTCATGGCGATAAGGATAGTTTGTTGAACAGCTAATATAACATCGCTGTTTGAAAGCTTTGAGCACTGTTTGGTACATTAAACTTGAAATCATCAAACAATTTTAGAAAATTTATATTTTTTGGGTACAACTTTTTGCTCTGTCATACCTATGACTAATTGAATCCCCAGCTGGGTCATTTTAAATAAGTCATGGCTTTCGAGGTGAAAGGCTGTATGTATTGGCCAATAGTTTGTAAGGCACCACGATGTTATTTCCAGAGCGCTCAATTTTATTTAAACCGTCGAAAAGTTCGAAATCTTCTTTAAGATCCAGGATCTGGCGAGCCTTTAGAACTGCAGAAGCGTAATCGTCTTCCACGGTAAAATTTAAGTTCTTATAGAGGTTTGTTTCAAACTGACGGTGGTTGAATTCGTGAATTCGTCAATGTCCTGATCTTTTAATTCGTCGAACAGGGTTAAAAACTTGGCGAACGTAAATGATGGCTGTATCCATTTTGCATTCTTGGTTGAATAGTTTTCGAAATCCTGGCAGGGATCGAAACTTTCATCCATATAAGTAAGCACTTGGTTCACGATTAATATATTGGGATCGGCCCAGGCAAGTTTTAGATCCACGCCAAGTAGCAGCACGCAGCTAATCCAAAAGAAGGATCTGATTCTCGCCATCGCAACTAGAAAACTAATAAGTCCGTTAGAGATTTTTGCTGCAGAGACCAAAAATACTTGAAAGAATGAGCACTGCTTATCAACTAAGACCAACACAATCATTTTGAAAACAACAAAGTTCTCTAGAGTAAAACAGACGTCATTATTTCAAAGTCAAGGCAAACAGTGTGAGATGATAAGATGAATCGGAGTATTCAAATTCAAGTTCAAATGTTTCACCCATCTTAAGTCCATTTTGTTGTCTTGGCAGCATATTTTACAAATGTAATCAGTAAAGTTTGTTTATTTAAGACGGTATTAACTAACATTTTTTTAAATTTATTAAAATCTTTCCACTTTTAAATATTTAGCAAAGTATAGGACTCACGATAACAATAACAGTATCTGCTTAAATTTATTGATTGTTTCATAAACATGGATTATTTAATTACATTCAACGCATATAGACACATAGGAAACAACCAAAAAGTACTCGATATACTTCAAATTCCAAATCGGGATTATATAAAATCAAATTGCGGTATTCCGGCTTAATACCAAGCTGTTTGTATTGATTGCAATAATTCTAAAAAATAAATCAAAAGTATAATTACACAGGTAAAATATCACAGATTATAAAACTATCGAAAATATTTACAAATGTCAAGAATAAAATGAGTAAACCAAATTTTTTATTGTATCAAATTTTGTTTATTTAAGTATACAATAGGTTTTTTGATAAATGCTGTTACAGAGTATTGAATTTTGAATATTACTCGTGACGTAGCTTGTTGTCATCCTATCGTAAATTAGGACAGTTAAAAGCCTGGGCGAATGAAGGCAGCTTTGCCAATTGATTAAGCATTCCGTTGATAGGCATCCCAGTTAATTGGATGTGATAGCTTTGGGCCAGCCTCAAGAAAGAGAGCTGTTTCAAGGTTTTTGTGGTGAAGCTGGGCTGGATCTGTGTAAACTTTGAATTTGGTGCAAAGTAGGATTCATGGACAATATTCAGGGCGATTAGGATCATTTGTTGAATACCTAATAAATGTTCGCTAATCGAATGGTTTGAACAGTGTAGGTTTAGTACATTAAACTGAAAATCGTCAAACATTTTTAGAAAATCAATGTTTTTTTGGATACAACTTTTTGCTTTGTCAATATCTACCATAATTATGACTAATTGAGTCCCCAGCTGGGTCATCTTAAATAAGTCATGGCTTTCGAGGTCAAAGGCTAAATTTTCCAATAGATTGTAAGGCACCACAATGATATTTCCAGAGCGTTTAATTTTAAATAAACCGCTGAACAGTTCGAGATCTTCTTCAAGACCCAGGACCTGCCGAGCCTTAAGAACTGCAGAATCGTAGTCGTCTTCGACGGTAAAGTTTAAGTGCTTATAGCGGTTTGTTACAAACTGACGGTGATTGAGTGTCTTTGGTAGATGCCCAATTCTAAGGGTTAAACTATTTAAATTTTCTTGAAGATCCTTAATCTCAGTCGACGTCCAGTTAAGTGAGTTTCTTTTGAGTCGGGTGATTAATTGATGGCGGATCGCCTTGAAAATAAGTTGAACTTGGGACTGGTATTGACTTACTTTTGCGGGACCCAAAACACGCTCCTCATAGAGTAGGTTGGAAGCTAACTGCAGGTAAGCGGTCGTATATGTGGCACATTTATGAACCTTTCCGATTTCGGGAAAATTTAGCGAGAATACAAAAGATCTATGGAACTCGATAATATTTCGCGATTCACCCAGGTGAAAGTTTTTCAACAGTTCCTTGAACTCATGAAAGATATCCTGGTTCATAACATGTACAGTAGCAGTGGGCGGAACGGTTTGATCGAAAAAGAACTCAAGATATTTGCTCAGGGATATCCCATGTTGGATCTCCAGTTCCTGGAGAGTCAATCGTTGCACTGGTTCCCTATTATAAGGGCTTGGCGTTCTTGCCAGACAGATGTTATAGAATCGCTGTATTTTTCCCTCCAGGCTACCCTCCTCAAGGTCTTGATCCTTTAATTCGTCGAACATGGTATGAAACTTTGCACGCGTTGGTGGCTTTATCCATTTTGCGTACTTGGTTGAATAGTTTTGAAAGTTCTGGCAGGGCTCGAGACTTTGATCCATGTAACTAAGCACTTGGTTGATGAGTGCGACATTGGGATCAGCCCAGGCAAGTTTAAGATCCACGCCAAGTAGCAGCACGCAGCTAATCCAAAAAAAGGGTCTAATTCCCGCCATCGCAACTAGCTAACTAATAAGTCTGTTAGAGATTTTCGTTGCTGAGGCACCAAAATAAGCACTGCTTATCAACTAAGCAGGAAGACTCACACAATCTTTTAAAAAACAACATAGTTCATTGGAGTAAAACATACGTCTTACATATTAGTCAAGGCAATCAGAGGGACATGACGAAATCCAAAGTCAATCCATTTCAGTCTTAGATTGGAGGGATCACGCCGCCACTGTGTTTTGAACCGTTGTTTAAGTTTTGCACTTGTTACTGTTAGGATTTGGTAACTGTAGTTGCTATGCTTATTGTTATACTTTGGGCTTGCTTTGATGGCAGCGAACATACGTCTGAGAGTGAGTTTGTAACTGTAGCTATAATTAACTTTGTACTGTTTACAATTCCAAAGACAAAATGTATGTTGTATCTTATAAAAAAGCGAAGTCGATCAAAAAATCTTTGGTATGACATACATTTAATATCACCTAAGAGCATTAAGATTGCAATTACTTTCTTCCACGAATTAAACTTTTGATACTGCTTATATGGAAATGTTTTCCATTGCTTTTATAAACACTGATACTGCTAAAATGAAAAGTTTTTTCAATGAAGGTTTTCCTATAAATACGGGGTCGTTTTAAGTTCTACTTTATATATTGCAGAATGACTAACTTCTTGATCTTAACTGTAAACTGTAGGGCTCCATCGGATTTCGGCAGTACAACTTTGTATGTTGCTGACATTGTTACGCCAATATTTTCCCACAAAGATAACACAAAAGATTCAAATGCGCCCGATAAAAGTTTCCATTTAGCTGATTTAAATAATATACCACTACCTCCGATCATCACCTTGCCCGGTTTGGATAAAAATATATATATTCTTGTTCAGGATCACTAGCCGAGTCGATCTAGCCATGTCCGTCTGTCTGTCCGTCCGTATGAACGCTGAGATCTCGGAAACTATAAAAGCTAGAAGATTGGCATTTTGCATGTAGATTTTAGGAGTTCCTACGCACCGCACGTTTGTTTCAAAATGGTGCCACGCCCCCTCTGACGCCCACAAGCCACAAGCTGTGGCCACAGTTTTGATGCTATTATGAAAATTTTAATTTATATGTAATTGTTTCGTCAATACCTATCGAAAAACCCATTAAACGCTTAAGCCTGGCTAGCGCCTACATTTCCGCCTTTCGTGGCCCGTGGTACCAATGTCTTGGGGTAGATGGCGCAATACAATAGCGCCATCTAACGGATGACTTTGGAACAGCTGGTCAAGGTGCTCAACAGAGTCAACGTTAATTCTCGATAAGGATTTCTATTAAAGGAAATTGCGATGGTTTTTATTTCTCAATACCAAACTATATCCCAAGAACTATGCAAATCAAATCAAGTTAGCCAAATTGGAGGTCTGAGTCAAACAATGGCGTATGTGTGTATGCTGGTGCAGGACAAAAGCTGCCTGCGTTAAAGCAGCGCTGGTGCTGATGCTCGTGCTGTAAAGCTGCCAGCTCTAAGAGATCGCCTAATTCAAATTGATAATTTGAACTGTTTGTCCTTTTTTCCTGTGGTCACTCTAATTCACATTATATTAATGCAAAATCTAAAGTTGTTTAGCTGAGTAACGGGTATCTAATAGTCGAGGCACTCGACTATAGCGTTCTCTCTTCTTTAAATTCCTTTCAGATCATAAGAATAAAACTTTTTACAGATTTTTGTCTGCTAATAAGCAGATCATTTCCAACGCGGAAAAATATTTCCCAAATGTGTACTTTAGGATCAACCAAGCTTAGGCAAACATAATTTTACAAAACAAGACTGCTTACGAGGAGCCAAAAATAAAAACAACAAGAAAGGAAAGCTAACTTCGGGCGGAGCCGAAGTTGATATACCCTTGCAGAATTCTCTATAATAATATTCTCCAAAATTATTCCTATGATGCATTCTTAATACTCATAAAAAATCCAAACTTCCTAACTTTAAAAACACCAAAGTTATGGCATTTCGAATCGTTCAGTTATATGGCAGCTATAGGATATAGTCGGCCGATCCTTATGAAATTTGGTAGGTCGGATTGATTGGCCAAATATAAAACCTGTAGAAAATCTTAACTTTCTAACTTTACAAACACCAAAGTTATGGCATTTCCAATCGTTCAGTTATATGGCAGCTATAGGATATAGTCGGCCGATCCTTATGAAATTTGGTAGGTCGGATTGATTGGCCAAATATAAAACCCATAGAACATCCCAACTTTCTAACTTTACAAACACCAAAGTTATGGCATTTCCGATCAATCAGTTATATGGCAGCTATAGGATATAGTCGGCCGATCCTTATGAAATTTGGTACGTCGGATTGATTGGCCAAATATAATACCCATAGAGAGTCCCAACTTCCTAACTTAACAAACAGCAGAATTATGGCATTTCCGATCAATCAGTTATATGGCAGCTATAGGATATAGTCGGCCGATCCCGGCCGTTCCGACTTATATACTGCGTGCAAAGGAAAGAAGGGTGTGTGCAAAGTTTCAATTCGATAGCTTTAAAACTGAGAGACTAGTTTGCGTAGAAACAGACAGACGGACAGACAGACGGACAGACAGACGGACAGACGGACATGGCTATATCAACTCAGGAGGTGATCCTGATCAAGAATATATATACTTTATAGGGTCGGAGATGCCTCCTTCACTGCGTTGCACACTTTTGACCAAAATTATAATACCCTCTGCAAGGGTATAAAAATATTAAAGAACCATCGGAGACACAAAGCATATCTTTTGAATAACTTAGAAGTAAGTAAAAAAAAACAATATTAAAGAACCATCGGAAACTTATCACACAGTATATATGTATAAGTATCAGTGTTCTTAGTCGCACCTTCAGCAGAGTCTATATGAATGAATAGATAACGTGAATTTATTACCAAAAAAAAAATGTATTTCTATTGTTCGGGTTGTTATGTTATGTTTATATTTGCGGCAACCTTAATAGTTTTTTGCTCGATTTTATTAAATTTTTTAACAAACAAAAAATTATAAAATTTTTTAAAATAAATTACATTAGTTGTTAAACCGTTACTTAGTTTGAAACTGACTCAATAAAAAACATTTGGACAATTTTTTTCTGTTAACTATTTTTGCCTGAAAATAATAGTGCGCGAAACAGTATGCACCATTTTGCGGGTAAGTAAACGGAAAAAAAATTTTCTAGCCCTAAATTCATTAAATATAAAAAAAAACAAGAGAGAACGCTATAGTCGGGTGCCCCGACTATCAGATACCCGTTACTCAGGTAAAGGGAGTGCGAGGGAGATGGAGATAGAAACTTTGATCACGCATAACTTTTTAACGAATGGTCCGATTTTAAAAATTTCCTTTACATTTCGATAGGTATTGATAAACACAATAAAACTGCATTTTTACTTTTCCGAAATATTTAAATTTTTAAAATCGTATATAAGCGATTGTGGGCGTTAAAGGGGGCGTGGCACCTTTTTGAAACAAACTTGCGCTGCGTTGGAACTCCTAGAATCTGCATGCAAAATGCCAATCTTCTAGCTTTTATAGTTTCCGAGATCTCAGCGTTCATACGGACGGACAGACAGACGGACATGGCTATATCGACTCGGCTAGTGACCCTGATCAAGAATATATATACTTTATAGGGTCGGAAACGCTTCCTTCTAGCTGTTACATACTTTTGCACGAATACAATATACCCTTTTACTCTACGAGTAACGGGTATAATAACTTATATACCCTTGCAGGTGTTAACAGACTTTACCGTTCTGATATGAAATAGTCTTCCAATCGACTTATTAATATCTGTTATAGATAAAAAAAGTTTCACTCAGATAGCTTTAAAACTGAGAAATTAGTCTTATATACATTCTTTATAAACTCGGAAATGTCTTTCACTGCGTTGCAAACTTTTGACTGAAATTATAATACCCTCTGCAAGGGTATAATAAATATTGCAAGATAACTATCTTTATTATTTAATTAAAAATAAAAATGTGTGTGCTTAAGAGCATTTGATACTCATCAACGTACTTTTTACTCATTGGTACTAATCTCAAGGTAACTTTGTGAACCGAACATTGGACTAATTGAATATCGGATATCGATACACTCATAAACAAGTGTTTTGATTTTAGCCGATTTTGCACGTCCAATTTATTTGAGTTTAACAGTAATGGAATCTCAAAACAAGTATTAAACAAAATCAACTTTCACCAAAGTTAGAAAGTTACCATTGTCGCACCTTCAACGTACAAAATTGTTTAAATGAAATGTGACGAAAAAATTAAATATTAAACTTAAAACATATGGCCGTTGAATACAGACAACTTGTTAATAGCAGCCTTTTCAGCTAAAAAAAAGTCAGACCCTCCAAGACGAATTTGTTTTTTAAACTAGATGTTGTTTTATTCTCTTTTAAAAAACTGCTACGCATCTGAACGTACGCAAGAATGCCCTTGTTGTTGTCCTTAAACCTCGTAGCCGTAGGATTTGATGATTTTGTTGAAGGGCTCGGCGGCCTTGGCGATGTTTTCACGCGCCTTGACCGTCAGCTTCTTCAGCTCGCGGTTGTGCTTAAGGGTGACGCGGAGCTTGGCCTTGCGCTTGCGCTCCAGGCTCTTGATCACGTCCTGGTAGTGCCATCCGACCTCGTGCGACAGGCGACCGACCTGGCAGTACTTGCGGTCGGAGCGCAGGGTCAGCACGCGCATGGCGATGGGCACAACGACGCGGCGACGCTTGTCGTAGGGCGATGGGATTCCGTCGAAGACACGGAGACGGGCGAGGGCAGCCTGGCCACGCTTGGTCTTGTGTGGGATCATGCCTGGAACGGAGAGGATAGAACGTGAGTCAAAGTCACACAACCTTAGCAGGAGGTTTAGTAAGTTAGGAGCATCAGTTGAGAGTTGGTTACACGGTTCTTCGTTCAAATAATGTAGGTAAGAATGTAATAATCATCATGACAGTTGGAATAGCTTGCATCTAGTTTTATACGCTTACCTAAAAGAGAGAAGAACAGGAATTAGTAATGTACTTGAACTATGAAGGCAGAACAGTAAAAGTTGCAGCAGCTTTTCTCAGTTATGTTTTGTTTACATGGCTTCTCATTCAAATAATGTAGGTAATAAGGTTTGAAAACATCATGGGTCAGCGCTGTCTAAAATCCTCGCATTGAGGTGGAAATACGTACCTCGGACAGCCTTGTAGAAGATCCGGGATGGGGCACGGAAGTGGAAGGGACCACGGGCCGGGTTCACATTGCACCGCTTGCGGAGGTAGGCCAGGAACTTGATCTTGTTCCTGTAGAAGTGACCCGAGAGGTTCAGATCCTCGCAGCGGACCACAGCGACCTTGCCGCCCTGCAACAGGTACTTTGCGACAACGGAGGCCAGGCGGCCCAGCAAATGGCCGCGACCATCAATAACAACGGTCTGGAATTTTAATAAAATCGAATTAAAATAAGAAAACAAAAGGGAAATTTGTGAGGTTAAGTTTGTCGGCAAGCGCATAAACAAATGTGTGTGGGCGTTAATTTTCAAAAGCACTCAGTTTTTTGTGGAGTGATAACACATTCTAAGAATTGTTAGCTCCTGGCCAGCAGAACACACCAATTTTTCACAGATGCTGCGTTTTTTGGCACGTGTAAGGCGCGACGCTTTTTAAACACTCAAACCAGCACTTTCACCTGCCTTCTTCGCACATTTAACCACTCCACCGGCTGGCCACCATTATGGGCCACGCTTTCCACACATTTGTTTGAGGCTCGTCTCGTTTTATTGGCGTTTTTTTTACACTTACCCTGTTCGTTAAACCAGTCATGTTTAAGAACCGCACGGAAAGAAGGCGGAAGTGGCGTTGACAGTTCGAGCATCGCTGCGCAGGGTTGCTTTGGGAACCGAAACTAGTTCGAGGCAACATGTCGGTGTTGCCACACTTCGAACTTAGCTAGTACACACTCCTAACTAGAACTGCCATATTTTGAAATAAGAAATCACTCTATTCAGTAAATGAGCTGCTACATTTTGTTTTCATTTTTTGAAATTTGTTACAGTTTGTTTTGTATCCATAGTTTTCAATCACCATTATTGTAAAAGGGCTTTCGTCAATTCGACTAAAATTAAAATATTTGAATTATCGTAAGGGTTTTACAAAATAAATATTGCATCTAGACACGAAAACTTTATTTTCTAAAGTAATTGACTTAAAAATAACTAAATAAATGTTCTAAAAACAGTTTGATAGCATATTTTTTAAATTCAGGAGGGAAATTATAGTTTAATTATATATTATAATTATTCTAAAATACAAATTTCGGAAAACAGGAAAAAACGAAACAATATTTTGGCGGAAAACGCATTTATAGCTAGGTAAGTGTGGCCAGATGCCGTATATCAAAATTGGATCATCTTCTGGTCAGACTTCTTAATGTTCATGGGGAAAAATGCGGCAGCCGCACTAGTAGCAAAGCACTCTTCAAAAACTTTCGACCGGACCGCTGTAAACATTTAAACGCTCGAAACAAAACGCCGTAATTAAACGCGAATTCAATGCAAATTAAATTTAGCTTCACATGACGACTGCTGCTAGTTGCGGGCGAGTGCAAGGCGCGTGCATATCTCGAAGAAAAAGTGCTGAGCCCAAAGACTGAAAAAAGTTCTAAAAAGTGAGTGGGTGGTGTTTTCTTCTCCCCTTAACGAACCCAATTAATAAACAAAGCGGCGGAGCAGTAAAGTTTTCCACACGTGATTTGAGCGAAGGAAAAGTCTTCACCTTATAAGGCAAGTTTCGAGTTGCATGCGGCACCCATAAAAACCGTATGTGCGTGCGTTCTAAATTAGATGCCCGATGTTCTGCTATTAATTAGCTATAAGTTCCTGTCTTGGGGCAAGTTTTCGCCCCTTTCCTTTTTTGCTAATTTCGAAATTGGGTCAACGTGTGCGATGCTACATTGGCTGTTCGAGTTTATATGTTTTTTTGTTTGGCTGCTGCCGCCGAACCAGTTTATTGACCTTGTTTTTCGGCTCTCCAAGTGCAATTGGGGCTTGACTTTTGACAATATGTCCGACTTTTCTCTTTTATGGGGATCTACTGACTAGGAATTATAATCGGCGGACATGCAACGCATTTGCAGCGCTGATTTGAGTGGAAATAAATGTTTATCACCACCTAGCAACACGAATCCGAATCACACACTCCTTCTTGGGGACATTTCCGTTTTTTTCAACAACAAAGGCCAGTAACGACTGTCTGTGTGTGGGTGTGTTCGTGTGGGTAATATGGGGGTGGCGTTTTAAATTGATTAAATTAACTGTTTTTATTTCTGCCGAGTGTCGCGTCCCATGTAAACAACAAACAGATGTTTTGGACATTAGAACCCTTAGTGTTGGAAAACGTCGCGCCCTCAGATAGACGATCAAACGCACATTGTAGCTGTGAAAAGGAATACAAAATTTAATTTTTTGTTGCGTTTAAAAATATATTTTATTTGTGAATTAATATTTTGTGGATTACAAATTCGTCTGCGGCACAGCTAGGTCGCTAACTAACTTGTAATTAAGTTAATAACAATAAGTTAATGGCAACAGCAAAGCAGATGTTTAATAAGGTTAAATCTGTTTTTATTCAATAAGCAGCGATTATAAACAAGGTATTAACAATTTTAACCAAGTTTAATTAAACAATTATTAGTAAAATGTTGCACAATTAACTGAGTAAATAATTATTTATTTAATAAAAAGGTTTAAAAAAATGATAAAATGATTCAATTTATGCAGAATTTTTAAATAAATACTATAAAGTATTAATATTTAATAGTGAATTAATTACAATAAAGTGTGATAAGGAGCAACACGATAATAGTGAAAGATAAAGTGTTAAAGTTAAGCTCCGTATACTAAAAGTAAGTACAAATAAAGTTATATTTTCCCTACTTCAGTTTTACGGCTTTTTCTTTTCCAGATGTCCGACTTTTATGAACTTTTGAATGTGCCATCCACGGCCAGTTTCGAGGAGATCAAATGCAGCTACAAACAATTGATACTACAATGTCATCCCGACAAATTACGACAGCTCGATGACCCAAATCCGGGATCGGAGGCCCAGAACAGCGACTTCAATGCGATAAACGCGGCGTGGAACACGCTCAAAGATCCCATTAGGCGCAAGTACTACGATGCCGAATTGCTGCAGTCGAAATTCCAGGCACACAGCAATATATACGCTAGCGTAGAGCTGGATGAAATGCAGCGGATCCCAGTGGAAATCGAAGAAGACGACGAGGCATCTCCCTCCCAAGAACCTGATGCAGACAAAGGGCCGGCGACAATGTGGAGCTATGCGTACGACTGCCGATGCGGCGGTCAGTATCTGTTCGATGGACCCGGAGACAATGAATCATCCGAAGTGATTGTGGAGTGCAACGAGTGTTCTTTAGTGATTATTGTGAATCAACCCACAACATGTAAATAAAGAATCCAAGGAGAAATAATGGAACTGCTGCCCAGCACAACGCTTTACTCTATTCGATTAGGGGCTCTTTTAAAATTAACTTTTACACTCCGTTTATTGTTTTCTTGAACCCCGGCTCGGCGGACTCTCTTCATATGCAAAGCATGTTGTCATCGGCATCGTGCATTCGACATTTAGCCGTGCCCAGCCCCTTCTTTGTCGCTTGCTGTGCCCAAAAGTGATGTAACATGATGGTACATCATTCCAATTTGGGTTCCCCCACTCCCGCTGTATATTCACTTTGCATACGTTTCATTTCCGCTGCGCGGGGAGAAATTACCAAAGACTTGATGTCTTTGGCGCGTGTGAATTGTCGGAGGTTTGCTAAATTATGAACTGTTTGGTGTTTATTTATTTGGGGTGTTTTTGGGTCAAGTTTTGGATGGACTTAGACATCATTAATGGGCTCGCTAAATCGCGGTTACGACAAATGAAATTGATCAATTTCGGATTTGTAATAAATTCGTCTTAAGTTTTCTCATTAATATTTATGGCGATTAATTTATTTTGTAGCCAAATAAAATATAAAGTACAAATATGTGGTTAGTATGAATCGTCAAACACCAAATATTTGCATTTATTTCTCATAACAAATAAATAGTAATTTTATTTGAATGATAAAATATTTGAATGATACATATATAATCAATCTAAAACGATAGAATATATTTACTACAGTTTTAAGGTTTATAATATTTATTTAATTCAATTAAATTTGAAAAAGCTTAACTTTTAACTATTGAAATTAAAATCTCTTATTTGATTTCCTATGGTCGTTAAGTTTCATTCGCCATACACAAAAAACAACGGTTTTTAAGCTCCTTAAATGTAATTATAATTACTCGAATTCGCCCATTTTTTGCTTTTTGTTAAAATTCAATAACCCCGCCCGATCGCAGCAACGCCGGCGATGATGTCAGCAACTGCAAAAGCACAGAAAGCGCAAAATGTTTATAAACGACTTCGAGAGCAGACGAAAAAATCGAGTACACAATGGGAATCCATTTGTTTATGATTATTGCAAAGTAATTTGCAGTCGACACGGCAAATTACGCACACCCAGTCTGTCGAGCAGTTTCTTGTATTTTATTTTTATCAATCCCCCTCGCAAACTCTTTCGCCGCCGGATAAGTACGTCACTCGATTGATAATTAACGGTTGTCTAGCTTTCGATTTCTAAACATACACTTGGTATATGTACATACATATATGTATGCCTACATATATGCTCGTTTGTGCATAAATGTTATTTACATAAAACGGCAGACAAGCTTGATAAACACTTGATTTCCAGACCCAGTTCGAGTAAAATGAGAAAACAAAAGTCAGCGGGAAATGTGCGTACCTTTTGAATGCTACATTTATGTGAATTAGGCACTGGGAAAAATATTTTATTTAAAAAAAATAATTTGGTTTAGGTTTAATTATGGATAGATTTTTTAAAATTTAAGATAAGTTAAAAAAACATTAATTAATTCTTAGTTAAGAGGCTACAATAAAAATCCCCGTTCCTTAATCTGGTCTTGGAAATGTAAAACAACTTCTGTTTAAAGTTATTGGTATTTTTCTCAGTGGAAGCATTTCACTGGCATATTCCTAGGTCTTTTTATATCTTTTGGGCATCTCTCACTTTAATAACCTTTTGACACAGAAAATTGAAACGCTTTAACGCATTTGCCGCTCGTCATTCATTCTCGCATTCCCTCATTCCATCAATTACTCCGGCTTGGCTGAGTGTCTTCTGTTACGAGCTGTTGTTTTTGCAAAAGCTGCACAGAAAAAAAATTGTTGGATACGATTTTTTTTTGGTTATGATTTTACGGTTCAAACATTTAATTTAAAATTTAACAACAATGGTTCAGATAAATTTTGATCGTTCCTATAGCAGCTATATAGATATAAATCTATCTATATTCGTATCTGTATATGATTAAAAACAACAAATTTATAATTTGTTTCATTTAATTTTCCAATTGTTTCTATGGGAGCTATTTGATATAGTCGTACGAATAGGTCCGTTCAGACTTATGTACTACCTGTAGTAAAGTAAATATTAAATTATTTAAAATATTTATCCAAATAGCTTTTAAACTGAAAGACTAGTGATCCTAATCAAGAATGTACATATATACTTTTAGGATCAGAAACGACTCTTTCACTGCGTTGCCAACTTTTGAAGAATTTTACAAAACATTCCACAAGCAAGAGTACAAAAATCATCAAAATTATATAAAACAAAAAATGCTTGCACGCCAAGTTTTAACAATTTAATTTTGTTCATAATATTAAAATTAAATTGTAAGTGCAAAACTAACATATGCGACACTATGGTTAGCGAAGGAACTCAATCTGTAGCATTTTGAACTAAAATTACATCTACACAGCTCTTGAACACGGACTTAAATCTCAAAGAATGTAAATAATTGTAATAATAATGTCTCTCCTGTAAAATTAACATACTTTTGTATACATGATAAGTTTGGGTTAAGGTTATATATCCAGGGAACAATTTAATCTGAGTTAACAAATTTCACAATGAGCTGTTTTTTCTTCTGTGTACCCGTTTTTGTTGCTGTGTGACACGCGTCGCAGCGCGATTTGAGATAATAACGTTAGCGTTCGCTCTCGGAAAGTGCAGATATGTCGGCTACAATAAGCCGGGTTGGAGCTCCAGCCCCAAGTCGTCAACCGTCTCCATGTTCCAACTCCACATCTCTGCCCTCCGCCTGGCACTTTCATTTTGTTTTCACTGCGCATTATAGACGCTTGAACAGCTTTAATTGCCCAATGGCCAGAAGAAGACGAAAAACCACGCAACTCGCGTAGAAAGCCCAAGAAGGTTGAAAAAGAAGCCGGGGCAACGGCGGAAACTGTGCGGAAAATGTTTGTCATACCCACATAACATTTACTGTAATCTAATGGAAACATAGGGAGTTTTAATTGAAATTCAGTTCGTTAAGAAAAGGGATAAAATAACTCCAGATACTAGGTCAATCATTATAAACTGGACACAAAAGGTTTTTATTTCTAAGATAAGTTATGAAAGAAGTATATTTTATAATGGTGTAGTTTTTAGGTTTTTTAGGGAATTTTAGAAATTTAAATTATAAAGGGCAAATCAGCTTTATTCAAAAAAAATATTCCAATTTAAACTTATTTATTTCTCATTTGGCCTTTTATACATAGGTTTTAAAAGAGTCCAGAATAGCTGTTTACAGGAATAATTTTTGTTATTTATTTGTTCTATAAGTTGAACAAGATTACTTTCTTTTAGGCCAGGCAACGTGTAATAACAGTTGTGTTTTTATAATGAGTCAGATTTCGCTTTAGGTCCTCCAAAACAGCTGATCGATACATAAAATATAAGATTCGTTGCCTTACGGTATTTATTCAGATGAGTTGGGGATATCTCTTAAATGGAAAAGTATCCAGACAAAAGAAACATACAAGATATTCCCCAGAACTAGTTGTGCCTGCAAACCACGAAGATCGTGAGTGATAGCTTCAACAACCCGTCTTTTTTCTGGTGCTTTCGTCTGTGTCTTTTGTGTCTTTCTCTCAATCTTAATTACTCAAAAGTGCCAATTAATTGTTGATTTTTTGTTGCTTTCTTGCTATATTTCTTAAGCAACTTTGCGGCTTCCCAGGCAACTCCTCGGGCCATATAATGCTGTTGTTCTGTTTCTGTTTTTCGAATCTGTGGATGCTTGCCCAAGGTGTCCGCATCTGTAAATGTATTTGCGAATGTGTAGCCGAGTGAAAAGCAAGGTAACAAGTGGGGCAGCAACTAGAGCAGACAAACATCATGCAGATACAGATACCTCCTCCCACACAAGGCGGAGATATATTCCAGTAAAATAAATCGTACATCTCTAAACGTCACTGACTTTCTGGAGCAACTGTTATTCGTAGTAGCTTATACTCCTAATTTAAAAGTAGCCCTGCAATAGATTTATCCCTATTATTGCATCGACAAAGGAAAACTGCTATTTGTAGTAGCTGAGTAAACAAATGTAAATGAAAAGAATCCTTGAAATTGATTTACCTTCATTTTTATAGCGACAAAGCATATGAACAAAGGAAAAATATCCGAATAAAAATTGGAATTTCAAATATTTATTTCTGATGTCATTTACATCCAACTAAATGCCTTCTAAATGTTACACTTAATTTAATAGACCCAAAAAAATTTGATATTTGCTGTTTGAAAATTCTAATCGAAGACCATTATTAAATCGTTCCAGTAGCTTTGGTGTGTAACTCACGCCCACAGAGTCGTCAACCTGGCTGGGAGCAACAGCCTCACGATTGACCGCCAGCACTACCAAAAGACTGAAACGCCGTCCAGCCAGCGAGCAAAGGGGAAGATGGCCAGTACCGGCGAGATCTGGTTGCAGTGGTTCTCCTGCTGCTTCCAGCAGCAGCGCTCCCCCTCCCGCCGCCCACACCAACGCCTGCGCATCGACCGGTCCATGATCGGCAATCCCACCAACTTCGTCCACACGGGCCACATAGGATCGGCGGACGTGGAACTGTCGGCCAACCGCCTCAACGCGATCTCAACCCAGATGCAGAGCAAGGGCGGCTACGAGACCAACTCGATACACTCGCTGCATGTGAGTTGACTTTACCAGCCGATTGGTCACCTATACAGGTTAACTTCTTTAAGACGAACTATGCTAATGCCGTTCCGCTGTTACGCATGCCAAAGTTTTGTAGTTCCCTTTGATTTATAATGAGATCATTTATCCAGCTGAAGCATAGGCAAATACTATCATACTTTGTTTTAGAATAAATTTAATAATTTTCCGATAAAGTAACTAAATTTCTTTAATACAAACGTTTGTTAGTTCGTTTTAAATAGGTTTTGCTGTAAGCGCTCTTCTGGCTCTTGATCTGTTGAATCATCTGTTTTTTTGGCTCCCCGCTTTGCGGCTTTTTTAATGTGCGAATCACGTCTTGATTCGATTGTCGCAACCCAAGAACCTTTTCGACACTTAGCACTTATATACATACATACATAGATAATATATCTTGAGACGCAATGTTCAGGGTGGAGGCTAAAAAATGTGCATTCGTATATTCAGTTCCATTGAATATACTTTCCTAGAAACAGATTACAAGTTTAAAGGATAAGCTTAAGTGAACAGGCTCATTTATAAAAACCACAAGAATCGATGAATTTTTATTTATTTCATAGCTTGAAGTAAAATAAACCAAGAAACACAGATTGCAAATTATTTATGTACATAGATAAATACAAAAATGTTAAAAAAATGTTATTTGCCAATTAGTAATATAAATAATGCATTTTTTAAGAATCAAATTCTTTTGTTTTATCAAGGACCTTATAATACTTATTTTTTGTAATGTCTTATAAACTTTGTTCAAAAAGGTAAACGACAAACACATATGTTTATTTTATAATTTTGTATTAATTGAATAGCAACTTAATTACAAAATTATAAAACAGACTATAAACCGTAAAGGCTTAACCAAAATCCCAGAGCTTGTACTATCTATCGAACATACCCCACTTTAGCTAAATTCAATTAATACATCCCCAGTTTGCCGCCCCCACAACAACACACATGTGCATGCCGAACACTCGTTGTCTGGGACCCCGATGCTGATAACGCCGCCCCTCCCAAATCCCTCCTGTCCCACCCCTGTCGTCGATAGCCACATATGTATATAACTATAGTTAATTGAGACAACGGAGCTGTTGAGCAGTGCACTGGCCACGGTCTAGTACATCGCTTAAATGGTTGACAAGCAATCCTCGACTCATGTTTCTTTTGGTTTTTTGCTCTTTATTCGCAGGCCTGCTGATGGAAGCCCCCAATCACCTCGCTATATCCCCGCTATAAAATGCATTTCGTGCAATTTTTTTTACTGAAGGGAGAGAAGCAGCATACAAACTTTTTACAATTCTTTGTTGTGGCGTGTTATCAGGCGAAGATGGCAAAAATTAAAGGGAGGAAGGTGAGCAATGCTGGAAATCATAAGAGATGTGAAAAAGGCGAATTTGAATTAGGATCCAGATAAAAATCAGACGTCTACCCGACAACGGATTTCATTCCGGCTTAAATCGCGGGCCCCTTGCGTTCCAATTACAGAGTTTGCGCTGATTTGCTTTTTGTGAGTATTAGCTAAATGAAAAATCGCAAAAAGAGTGCCAACCGACTAAAAACAATAAAGAGTTAAGCCTAAAACGATATATATACAGAGTCAGTTGGAACATTACGAACCATTTTTTGAATGTACTTAATGTCAAAACAAGAAAGGAAAGCTAACTTCGGGCGGAGCCGAAGTTGATATACCCTTGCAGAATATTTTATAAATTATATTGTCCAAAATTATTCATATGATGTATTCTTAATACTCATAAAATGTCCCAACTTCCTAACTTTAAAAACACCAAAGTTATGGCATTTCCAATCGTTCAGTTATATGGCAGCTATAGGATATAGTCGGCCGATCCTTATGAAATTTGATAGGTCGGATTGATTGGCCAAAAATAAAGCCCATAGAAAATCCCAACTTCCTAACTTTAAAAACACCAAAGTTATGGCTTTTCCGATCAATCAGTTATATGGCGGCTATAGGATATAGTCGTCCGATCCTTATGAAATTTGGTAGGTCGGATTGATTAGCCAAAAATAAAACCCATAGAAAATCCCAACTTCCTAACTTTAAAAACACCAAAGTTATGGCTTTTCCGATCGTTCAGTTATATGGCAGCTATATGATATAGTGGCCCGATCCGGCTCGTTCCGACTTATATACTACCTGCAATAGAAATACAACTTTTGGGAAAGTTTCAAGCAGATAGCTTTAAAACTGAGGGACTAGTTTGCGTAGAAACGGACGGACAGACGGACAGACGGACGGACAGACGGACGGACAGACGGACAGACGGACATGGCTAGATCGACTCTCCTGGTGATGCTGATCAAGAATATATATACTTTATAGGGTCGGAAATGTCTCCTTCACTGCGTTGCAAACTTTTGACTGAAATTATAATACCCTCTGCAAGGGTATAAAAATCAAGAAGGAACTATCCATAATAATTTACATTTTCAAAGTCCATTTTAGAGCACTTATAATATTTGTATGCTCTTACGAAAACTGCCTTATAATCAGTTGCACAACCAATAAAAAATAGTCTGACCTACGATATTTGGCTGAAATGGTGCAACTAGCGAATCTTATTTTACAAAAGCTGACTTAGCATTTACACCAAGTTGTTAACTGTATACGGAAAACTGTCGCACAATCACATTCAACACACAAAGTAATCAGCTTAAGAACATTCATGATATTTTCTTCATTCGAATATTTGTAAACCTCTTGGATGGATTTTACGCAAGTGACAATTCAAGCGTAGATTGAGTACCTATGTAGAACCCCACATCAAGAATCAGAAATATATATTTGTAAAATCAAATGCCGTTGTAGATAACAGAGTTTAAACATGCGTTGGGTTTTAAGCATATAGACTAATTGTATAAACAAATATTTAAGCAATAATTTATGAAAATATATACCTATATATTTTAAAAGCAACAAACCGTAAATAAATCGTGTATTTTTATGGCAAGCTACAGCGGGTACTTTGGATATTATCTCCCGGCATCACGGTTCAACGGACAGCTAATTGCACACCCTAAGTGCTTTTTGCTACTAGCTCTAATCGACCAAATATTATTTTTCTATTCGGTGGTGTTGATTTTGGCCTAATAAGTAGTGCATACTTGAATTTTGGGAGCCATCTTTTGAGCCCATAAATAATTTAAATATTTTAGCTTTAACATTTATAAAGCAAACGGGCTAAATATCACTAAATTTATGTTTAAATTAAAATTTTTGTAGAAAGGTAACATAAGCTTGTAAACTGAAAAATTGTACAAAACTTTTAATTGTCTTAGCTTAAATCGTTTTACGGGTTTGTATTTGCAATCAAATAATTGGTACAATCTTTAAGAATTTAAGACACCTAATATTAAAATTGGAGCTTATCAAATTAGAGTAAAACACTCAAAAGAATTCGAACTCGTTTATCTGTAAGGAACCGAGATCCACATCTGCAGTATTTGTAAATCAGCAAAAATTTTAAGATTTGGCAACTAAACATTGTAAATTTATTTTATTGGAACACAAACAAATTAGACCAACCTAATCATCGTTTTCGCTACCCGAACCGCTGCCGGAGCCGCTGCCGCTACCGCTTCCACTGCCCGACTTGCTGCTGCCGCCGCCGCTCTTTTGACTGCCTTCGTTATCGCTGCCACTGGCGCTGCCTCCTCCGCCGCTCTTGTCGCTCTTGCCGCTTTTGACGCTGCCTGCATCCGATTCGCTGTCGGAGTCCCGCAGCGCCTTGCTGGCCTTGGCTTTGTCTACCTTCTTGCTACGACGTGCCTCAAAATCAGAGCCCTCGTCCTCATCCGAAGAGTAGATCGTGGATGCCTTCACCTCCGCCTGAGCACCGCCTGATCCCTTCTTGTACCGATTCTTTATGGCACTCAAGCTAATGGCGTTCTCATCATCGCTGCCATCGTCGTGCTGATAAGATGATGTCCCACCACCCAGAAGCGGTTCGCCGGCACCCGATTTCTTCTTCTTGGGCTGCGACTTGTGCTGATTGCGCATTGCCTGGCGTAGCTTTGCCTCCTCCTCCTTGAGCTGGGTGGGCCTATCTGTTGTGGGATCCTTACCTACCTGAGTTAGGATCTTGATTCCGCTGGTCTTGCTGGATCGATCGGCCAGCGACATGGTCATCTTTTTGTGCGTGAAGGACTCCGTTGAATGGGGGCGGAAGGTGAGCTTAGTCCTGAACACGGACTGACCTTGCAGACCCGTGCCCTGTCGGATGAACAGATGGTTGTGGTCTCCCAATAGCGGCTGCCTGTACGCATCGAATATCTCGTTGCCCAAATGGAGCGACATGCTTCCGTCGGACCAGCGTACAAATCGGGCATTTGATTCGCGTACCATGTCGCCCTTGTTGTCCATAAATTCACGCCAGCGGATCGTGTTGCTCACTTTGAGCTTGATGCGCTGCCTTCCCTCCTCGTCCATGGTCTCCTCTTCATCGATTTCATCTTCGTAGGTTTCTGGATCAAAAGGATGAGTGACCACTGACAAAAAGTTAGGAAGCTTGATAAAGTGTTGCTCTTTTCCAAGATCCGCAGAAATGCGTGGAATCTCCACATCAATTCGGGTTTCGGGGAGAGGCTCGGGCTCATCCTCCTTGGGTACCTGCTCAACTTGGGACTCGGCTTGATCCCTGGACCGAGATCTGGAGCGAGAACGCGAGCGGCTCATCGAACGACTGCGGGATCTAGACCTACTCCTGCTGCGACTCTTCGAGCGTGCTGGAGATTTACTGGTAGCTGGCCCAGCATCCTCCTCATCATCACTGATATCATCAGCGTCGCCAAAGATGTCAGCTGCGGCAGGAGCTTTCTTTGCCTGAAAATGCCGAATGTATAAGATTAGGTTAACAGAATCATATGAGTTATGAAAATTTTTTTTAAATTTATTATTTAATAGACAAACTCACCACTTCCTGGTCGGACTCGCTGTCAGAGTCGATTAGCCGTGAATTCTTCGGTTTAGTGGGCGATTCCTCCATGTCGCTATCGCTGCCACTCTTATTCTTCTCCTGATCGGAGCCACTAGCCTTACGTGCCTTTTTTTTCGGCACGCCAATGTCGCTGCCGGAACCGGATCCACTGCGGCTGCGACTTCTGTTGGGCGAAGGTGTGCCCGTCTTTGAGCGCGACCTGGAGGTTCGGCTACCACTTCTGCTCCTACTCCCACTGCGACTGCCGCTCTTGGAGTTAGCCCGCTCATCGTCAATCTGCAGATTAGGCGAATTTGAGCGGGATTCCTCGTTGCCGCTGCCCTTGCGTGTGCCACTACGAGAGCGGGATCGGGATCTAGCACTCTGAGCAGAGCCAGATTTGCGACTTCGGGCGGACCCGGATCTCTGACTGTGCCCAGAACCTGATCTACGACTTTGGGGCGAGCCAGATCTGCGGCTCTGCGGGGATCCGGATTTGCGGCTTTGCGGGGACCCGGATCTGGGGCTTTGTGGGGATCCTGATCTACGACTTTGAGGGGATCCTGACTTGTGGCTTTGAGGGGATCCTGATCTGTGACTTTGGGGGGATCCTGGGGACCCCGACCTGTGGCTGTGAGCAGATCCAGATTTCTTGCTATGAGCGGAGCCAGACCTCTGGCTTTGGGCCGATCCGGACCTGGCACTTCGTGGAGAACCGGAGCCGGAACGAGATCTGGAAGATCTGGAGCCCGAGCGAGATCGATCGCTGCCACTGGCCGATTTACGACTTCGGGGGGAACTGAAAAGAACATATTAACCAATCAGCACACTCCCCACGCTCCTTAAAAGATGCAATAACTTACCCGGGTGCACTGCCTCCTTGTGGCGTGGCGCTGCGGCTGCGGGTACCACTACGACTGGAACCGGATGAACCTGAGTAAACACTGTAAATACTAGTTCCTCAGGTCACGAAAGCTTCATACAACTTACCGCTTTCATCGTCCGAGTTTTGATCACCCATATTGCCAAGTAAACTCGATTGAAAAATTAGAAAATCGGAAAAAGATTTCGCGGCCGGGCAATAAAATTTAGTTTGGGATGCCTCTGCACTGTCAGACTAATCGATTACTAAAAACAGCTCGAGTCCTCTGCATGAACAGACCAAATGGCAACTCAATACCCGTTCGCGACTATCGATTAAATGTAAACAACTATTTTATAGACAACAAATACAAATTAAACTCTTATATTAAAAGAAAAAGGTCGAAACTTATTCTAAACCAATTCAAATCCGTGCCCACATAGCCCTAAAAACGCTCGAAACCCCCTTCTTGTACGCGGTCAAATATCGATAGCAGCGCTGCATCGATAGCAAATTTTTACATCCCTAATTCCTGTGTGTTTGTATTCGTGACAGCCACAAAGTTTTTTTGCGGAACATTTTTTGTGTACAATTTAGAGCCATTTCGGGCGCTAAAAAATTGCTTACTGCCCCTCGATAGTGGATCGTCAAGACCCGGCTCCACCAAGCTCGAGTGCATTTGAGGGTCGGTGGCGTAAAAGACACGCAAATCAAGCGGAGAATTTACCCAATTCGTTGCTTCGGGTGAAATTTCAGTGAACTGAGAAAACAAAGACAGACACATACACAAACACACACACAGGGTCACAGACACAGTGCTTGTGCAGCAGTGAAGAAAGAAGCAGAGACAACAGCGCAATAGCGAGCAATTATTTACTTACAAATAAAATACAAAAAGGAAAACACTACTAAAAACCATTGGCCAATCGGAGTGTAAGTGTAACGTGCGCGAAATTTGCAAAAGCGTGAAAATAAAGTGGTCGCAAGAGCGGCGCAGAAAAAAACGGAAAACTTTTCGACTCCGCCAGGCATCAACATCCTTCGGTACTCGTACTCCCTCTCTCCGCTGGCTCTCTTTCTCTCTCTGGCACGAAGACCACGCTGCATACAGACGAGGCATATACACACAAACAGCGATATATATGCCATTTATTTAGGGACGACACGGCGCGGAAAAGTACTAACTAACCTCGCTCCCGCTACGGTTCCAGTTCCCGCTCCCGTTTCCCGTTGCATCCTTCCAGCCAGCCAGTCAGCCTTCCAGCGAGTAAGTGCGAGAGAGCGAACAAACTATAGCTAACCAAAGGCTGCCCAGTGGAAATCAGATATCCTTGCTGATCCGCCACAGCTACGGCGCTAGGACAACGACTCCCACGTCCTCGTCCCGCCGGCCGCTTTGGAATGTTAAATGCGGTGAGAACGATCCGATCAGTGTATGTTGTTGTTGCTGGACAGAGTGGAAAGCGAGCGTTAACAGTGGAAGTGCAAGAAGCGGCAGTATCGTCTAACATTAATTTAGGTAAGTTGCCCCTGCTTGCCTCATTTTGTTCGCTGTGCCAACCAAGGTTATATGGTTTACTTAGCCCGAAAGTTTCCGATCGTAAGTGTTTTTGTTGTAAGCGCGGGCGCCAGTGTTCCAAAGCGCCCGTCTTGTCAGCTGATAAAGTTACATGCGCAGGGCAGGTAATTCGGCAATCAGTTCAGCTAACCAGATAAACCTCTGGCTCAGGTGGCTTAATGGCTGTCAATACCAAGTAATGAGAGATTAGCAGAGAAGAAAAGAAAGGGTCATCGGTCTGACCAACATCAAGCCCTGCGCTGGTCTGTGTGCCAGAACATGTGGATTGCAGTGAAGATTTAATAAGATAAGCCGCGAAACGTTAGGCACAAGGGAGGCAATCAATAAGGAACTTATAATTCACACTTTATTTTATTGTAATTAAATTTAATTTCATTAACCCCTTTCAAAACCAAAATTTTATACAAAACGACTTTATATAAAGGTGTTGAACCTTTAAAGCAACCCAAATTTATAAACGAAATGTAATCTAGTTTCTTTAAAAACCTATTAACTTGTTAAACTTTAAATCACGGTTTTTGTCGGAATAAATTTAATGTAAAGATTCCATTAATAATTTGGATTAGATCAAAATTCATATCTTAGAAATTCCAAAATTTTAAAAAACAACGACTTTTGTCGGTTTCCTATTATATTTTTTTAAGTTTTATAAGCCTGCCATATTCACTTTTAAAGCAATGAATTCTGTTATTCAAAAATCTAAAAATTACTATATCTTGGTAAATATGTTAACAAACAAAAAACGAGATATCCTTCAAACTGGGAGACCATTGGGGTATAAATAGATGGACATGGGGATCAAGAATGTACATATTCACTATAAATGTATCGTCTGAAAAGTCTCCTTCACTGCACTGAAACTTCTGACTGTAATTGTAATACTCTCGGAATGGTATTAAAGTTATGGATGGAAAGTTTGACTGTATGTACATATGTATATTTGTAGCGGTTAGGCATCTTTACTGAGATTATAATATACATTTTTGTCAATTTTTTTCAAAAGGTATTTTTTATTTAAAAATAACTAAGTTGGCATTTAACCTCATGAGAAAGACTGAGTAAAAATCCGAAACTGATAGTTTTTACTGTACACCTTTTTGCACTTTGCTGCACTCCTTCACCACTACCTGCATAATTGATCGTGCGACAAGTGCAGGCGTATCCTTTTGCACTCGGCCTGTCCATCTCCCTTTCTCTCGCATCCTGCCGCCAGTCATTCTGGTTTTCTCACCCACACCATTGCCATTGTCTTCGTATTCATCTTATCCATGCGACCTGTGCATGTGTGCCAACGCCAAAGAGGAACGGCAATAATTGCCGCAGCCTTTCTGCATGTTTCTCCTTCTCAATAGTTTCTCCTTTAGCTTTGTTTGCTGTCCAAATTTGCCAATCGACAGCTGATGCGACTTCAATTTAACGGAATCGAATGCGAGGGCGATTATTGTTTACTTGCAATGTATGTTGGTAACCCTTTTCATATCCCCTTCCAATGACAGATACGCAACTTAACTGCGACCAAGGCTCCTCGCCCACAGACTTGTTTATTTATTTGTTTAACACGCATATGTTCGCATTTAATGTGCGACAATTATCTGCGGGGAGCCGATTTGTTATCACTAAAAGAGCCCCCTCCACTGAGTCACAGAATAAAAACTCTTGTTTATGGGTGAAAAATTTTCCCGATTCGGACTTTTGACAGCATATAACTCTGAGTTAGCGCTTATAGGTCCCCGACAATCCAAAATATATTTAAGTTTTATTATTATTTTTAATTACAATATTTTCGAACAGTCGTAACTATTATTAAAAAGTAAGTGCAAACTAATTAAGAAACATGATAAAATTATAATTTTATTGTTACTTATGTTACCTATCATTTGTATTTGACTATTTGTAAATCAGTTCCACAAATGAAAAACTACAGCTTATTACCCCTTTGCAGATTATGGCGAATTTAAATTTCCAACAACCCCCGAGAAGTATAGCGAACGCGGCGTTAGCTGGCCGGACAACTGGCGGATTCGGTGGTAGCTCCCTGGCTGGCCATGTGACGCCCACGTCGGGCATGTTCCAAACCGGTAAGCAAGTGTTAGCCCAGTAGTTTTATCGGAGCATCACACTCACATTTGTGTGTCACAGACTTTGCCAACTCCTATCCAGGAGCGGCGAACTACGGACAGGCGCCACAGCAGCAGCAACAACAGCAGCAGCCGCCGCAACTGTCGCCGAACCGGAATGCGCAGCTCTCGGTCGGCGGACCCGCCCTCTCCAGCGGTAACCGGAACGCCAACCTCTTCGGCCAGCGGCAGTTTGTGGAGCGGCGTGCCATGCAGGGATTGGGTAGTGGCCCCATGGTAAGCATACCAAAGTAAAGTGCATCTTCTCCAACCATAAATTTGCCAAGTCCAGGTTTTTGTAACCTTATAATAGCACTCTGTTACAGAATCAAAAATAAATTGTTAAATGAATGGGTGTCAGAACCCGCGCTGTACATAAATTGAATATAGTATATCGTGTTTAACAGAAATATGTCACCAATCAGAAACCAAAATCTTCAAAAGTACTTAAACAGTAATCATAGCAAAATTTCACATAATCATGGTTTTAGTTAATCTTCAAAAATGAACATGAATTTATAGACAAACGAAAAAAAATTTGCATTTGAAATAAACTGAACACTTTTCAATTTTTATTTTTTCTATCACAATAAAAATTGATTGAAGCTAAGAAACTTTTTATTTCACACCTTCGTGTCCAAGACAATCCAGTAAACATAAATCAGATCTTGATAATATCTTTTAGAAGTGAAACTTTGAATTTGTAAAAAAGTTCAGAAATATGAACACTTGATAAAGATAAAGTTGGAGAAGTCAGTCAAGACTGTAACCGCATTCCCTAAGACCTGGCTAATTTACTTTCTTTCTACAGTCGAACATGGGCAACTTCATGCAGACGGGTCGCGGCGGCTACGGAACGGGCGGAGGCGGTGGCGGTCCTTTGAATAACTTCCACGTGTTCGGCGGTGGCGGGAGCGATGCCTCCACGCCAGCCCTGCTCGATCCCACGGAGTTCCCCTCGCTGACGAATGCGCGCGGCCAGAACGACCAGACACTGCCCCAATCGAATCCGCTCCAGCCGCCGGGCAGCAAACCCTATGGTAATTTCTTTACCTCTTGTGAGTTCAAATTGAAATCCACTTATTTTTATTTGTTTTTGTTTACAATTACGATTAAGAACCTGCTGGGACCGGTGTCTTGTAATTCGTTGGGCCCACTTAGTTATGCTATGTAGTATTTGTTACTAATCTCGGGTAGCGGTGGTAGTATAGCAAACGCTTTAAAGAGAAAACCAAACCAGATCAAAACAAGTTTAAACAAAGTTTCATTAATATGGCTATTATTTTCTGATTTCAACCATTTTTCCTGGACATTTAATCATGTTCCTATTTCTTCCGATTTTAAAAGATATTAGTTTTTTTATACGCAAACTTTGTTTTTTTCTTCAGAGGTCAAACTTTGGACAAAAAATAACAATCCTGAAAACTGATTCAAACTAAAATAGGGACGACCTGGCTAAAATGTCATAACGATACTTGTTTTAAAGTGGGGAACCGATGAAAAAATGTTGAATAAGTCGAAAACATTTTTTTCGTTTATATATAACACACCAATTGATAGAATCTTAACCGATCGATTTTAAAT